GGTGACCCCTCTGGTTGGAGCACACATTGAAGGCCTAGGCAGGGAGAGTCGACAGACAACGGCCAAAACATGGATGAAGCTGAATATAGAAAATACACTTCTAACAGCACACCGCACCCCCCACCAACACTTGGGGGTCTCTCCAATAGCAATCACCGGTTTGCACTTCGTTACGGAGTTCAGTTACAGTGCAAAAAGATGGTGTGGAAACAGAGGGAGCTGAGGCTAACCAGTCAGTCCCCTGGCCTGGGGGCAAGCTCACAAATAGTTCTTCAAAGGAACCAGAGAAAGAGTAAGCCTGAAGTCTGGATTCTTTTTTTCCCCATGTGGCAGGGGGGGAAGGGAGGGAGGGGGAGCATAGGTTTTTGCTTATTTTGTTTCAAACCACAAAGGATCTAGTCCAGAAGCGTGGACGAGAGGTCCGTGGAATGCATCACAGCGAGCAGGGGACCGGGGAGCCAGGCGGTTTGGGAAACGGGGCGGTGGCAGTGCTCCGCAGGGACCCCAACCACCAGCACTGCGCACAGCGAGCGCTATCAGGTTGGGGGGCCCAGCTGGTGACAGGCTGTATAATTTGTGGCAAGTCACTGTGGCTAAGCCTCCATTTCCTCATCTGTAAAAGGAGATCATTTCTAGGTCCCACAGTTGTGGTGTAATTCAAATCTCGTCCCTAAGAACGGGCTTCTGTTAGCTCCAAAAACAGTGGCAGGCATGTTATTTCTTCTGTGTGGTTAAAAACTCACTTATTAGGAGCCACAGTGTTTTGCCACAAACAAGCTGGGTGGTTTGGCGAGGTCTCTGGGCTTCCACGTCCTTGCCTGCGCAGTGGGAACAGCAGTGCACATACTGCGGCTTGTCCAAACCGTAGGGGCAGCACCGGACGTGGGGTGGCCGCTGGGAAAGACCGGCTGCTAAGGCAGTGCTGTGCCAGGTACTCACTCTCCTCACACACAAGTCACTGTTCTGGAACTCGGGCAACCTGGGTGTAAAACAGTTCCTTCTTCCTGCTCCCCACCAGCATTGTGGCAGGTGGTGCCGAGAAACAGCCAACTGCCAGGGACCAGGCCCTGCGGTGAGGGAGGACCGTTCTGCCCTGGAGAGGATTCGGCCTCCATCCCTCAGGCAGAGACCCAGGAGGCCATCATCGGCCAAGGAGCCTGCGGCCTGGTGTGCGGCAGCGGGAGCCGCGGACAGGGGCAGCAGAGCGGCTCAGGAGACCTCCAAGCCACCCCAGAGGGGCTCACCAAGCACCACCAAGTCTAAGGGGCTGCCTGCTGCCTCCAGGCTGGCAGCCTGTCCTGAAGCCTCGTCTGGGGAAAGTCCTGCTGATCAGAACAGGCCCCCGCCACCTGCCACTCCGCCAGCTGTGCTTAGCAGGGGGACAGCCCCCCAGCACCCCCCAAACCTGGGCTGCCGGCCTTCCAGGCCCCTCTCTTCTTTTTACCCCATGAGTCAAAAGCTCGCCAGGCTTGAGTCTGGCTCAAACCTTCTAAGGCATCCCCATCACCAGTCTCAGGCCAGGCAGAGCGTCACCTCAGAAAGCATTAGCTGAACGCGGACACAGACCTCAAGTTCTCATTGATATTCAAACAGAAAAACAAGCTTGAAATATAAGCGCTTCCCTTCGTTTATGCAGCCACACCTTACTCTTCTAGCCTATCCTTCCGGTGTGTTCAACAACTTCCCCAGTTGGTCCAGTAAAAAACAGCCCTATTTGTAAAAGGCCAGGATCCGGCACAGGAGCCCATCAGCCCATCTGGCCCAGCCCACGGCCTGCGTGTCCCTCCTGCCACGCGGCGCTCCCCTCCCCTTTGGCCACACAGCACGCACAGCGTGCATGGTGTGGTGGAAAGAGGCTTTGGCATCGAACAGAGTGGGGTTTCATCCCTAGCTCTAGTGCTTAACTCTGAGCCTCAGTCTCTTCTCTTGTAAAATAAGAATACCACCTCTGAGAAGGTTGTTGGAGAAGAATGTCCAAGTGCCTGGCCCACACAAGACAGCAATTTGAGAATTTCTTCCTTTTCTTTCTTCTGTTCCTTCAATCTACTGCTGCCCACAGCCCAAAATAACTTCAATTGAAGGCTACTATTGACTTCATTACCTGAAAACATTTAGCTGACAGGTAAATGCAGAGACCTCTCATCCCAACCTTACAGAGGATCCAGGTAGGTGAAGCCAGACCAAGGCTGAGAGACTGGGTCCCGAGGCAGTGCTAAAAGAAGGTCTGCACGGCAGCCAGGCTAACGTTACGTCCTGTGGACCAGAAGCAGCAGGAGAGGTATGACCATACATCTCCGGCTGGGACACGCTAACCAGTCTCCCTTAAGCTGCCCAGGCAGATGGCGGCAATCTCCATGAAGCCCCCCAGCAAAGGGAGCACAGTTTGCAGAATGGCAAAGTTCTGCCAAGAAAGACAAAGACCCTCCTTAGAAGGACCAAGGAATTAAGATGTTAAAACTGGTCAAAGCTGGGCGGGTGGTGGCAGGGGAGGGAGGAAAGGAAAAAGAAAAGAAAGGCCCTCCCTCAACCTTGGCTCAATGAGGCAATGATGCCACCAAACAGCCACAGCTGTAGAATGGGGTGACTTCTGCCAGGACATTAGTTATACAAATATCTCTTGGATTTAAGAAAAGCCTCTTGCTTTGGGGCTACAGCAAGAGAGTAAGGTCTTTGGAGTTTCCCCTGGAACTGGGGCTGTTGTGTCCCCTCTTCATTCACTTCCCGTTGCAAACAATAAAGACAGACCGTTGGTACCATTAAAAGAAGAAAAAAAAAGCTCTCGACTATCATGCCAATCCATCTTATTTGTCTTTAAAGGTAATGCTCAGTCCCTGTCTACACAGTTTTTATAAACTTAAGAGCGTCGCAGAATTCAACCTAAAAAAAAAGAGAGAGAGAGAGAGAACTGAATCTGGAACCCCCACCTAGCATACCACCTGCCAACAGACAGGGATGCCTGCACCTGCCCACCCTCAGTGCGGCTGAAGCCTGCGCAGAAAGAGACAGCAAAGCTGTTCAGCCGGCTCACCATCTACCCATTCTTCCTTTTACTGAAAAGAGAAAGAGATGGATGGACAGGCAGATGTGTTTTTTCTAAGATTAACATGCAGGGGAGGCCTCCTGTGGGGATGAGTGCCGATGTGTCCCAAAGCGCTGAAGCACACCAGGCAGAGAAGCTGCAAGAATGCTACAAAGAGACGCACGGGAGTCAGCGGCCCTCTAAGCACGCCACCCAGGCTCCTCCTCCCGTGGTTTATAATAACTTGATTTCTACCTGCCAAAAACTGGTGAGCTCTGGATGCTGGATTCCAGGGCTAGCTGTAATCACACACCTCTTTTCTTCTCATTAATGCACTGGGAGGAAAATTGGAATCAGCAGGCTGATATTCTAAGCTCAGCCCTTTTGAAGTTCCAAGCACACTTAAATGCCCAAGCGAGTACATACAGATCCCTGGCAGCAGACCGGCCAGTGAGCTCACCACCACAGCAGAAACACGGGCATTTTCAGTCAGCAGGGATCTGCAGCTACCTCCCCACACTACCTCTCTAAGTGTTTGCTTTATGTTTCCTGTTTAGGGGTCCTCTCTCAAAGTGTGGGAGCACCCCCAGCCTGCAAATACCAAGGAACCAACAATGCAGCTCCCCCCGCCCCCTGCCCCGAGCAGGCCATGTGCTTGCTTCTCCAGCACAGTTTTGTTGCCTCCCTCACATACCTTCTGTCCCTTCGGCCAACCATGGTAGGGACCGTCAACACTGACTGAGTACCTATTGTGCACCAGGTACTATTCCGAGCACTCTATGTGTATTAACTCATATAATCCCCAAGCCCCACAGGAATTTGCTGGAGGGAGAAAAATACTTTGGCCCAGATTCCCACATGATTTCTATTCCCTATTTCTAGCTGTGCTGTAAAGCTTACATAACCTAATTTGCACTATGGAGCTATTTTTTAAAATCTCCAAAGATCACTGCATCAAGTATCAATGGAAGCTGTTAGCTCCTACCTAAAATGATAATGTGGGAAAGGATATCTATTCTTACAACTAACTCAACTTGAATTCTTGACTTAAAACGGTCTTTCTGGAAGATGGGATGAGGAAGGGAAAGAGACTCATTCTTACATAAGAAGTCCTAGCTTGTGCTCTGTAAGTTGCTGCTAGAGAAACATCAATACTGAAACTCATCTCAGCAGTAGGTAGTTTCCTGACGCTGTGGTGGTTATTCATTTACCACTTATCTCCCTTCCAGGCCTCCTAGTAACACGGAGAAACCTACGGTCACTGTGTGGCATCAGATCCTTATAGCTTGCAAGTACAAATACAGCAGAACCTTTTTTGCTCTGAGGACTTCAGAGAGACCCCCCCCCCGCACCCCCCCATCCCCCCCACCCCCCCACCCCGCCCCGGCCCGGCCCAGGACGCACTGGCCCGTGCTGAGTAGGAGGTACAGGAGGACCATTCACAGAGCAGGTTTTCAGCTTTAAACTGCTCCTAATGTCCCTAGTTCCTAGGGCTCTGGATTCCTAGGAATCTAACTGCTAAGGGCAAGGGCCGGGGGCACATCTGCAAATCTTAGTTCGTTCCCCTCACTACTGAAGACTTGCATCCACCGCAGTTATTAAAGAAATCTAGATAAACAGGTAAGTTATAATGAATGATTGATTATAAGCACAAAATTCCCCTCACTTGTCATCAAAAAAATGTGGTGTTTAAAGCAACCCACTTTGGTCTCTGCTATACTATAAAAACTGCTTAAAAAGGACTGGGATATTTGTTCATTTCATTCCATTCACTTACTTGGAGAGAGGTCCATGAACATAAACAGAGCTGGTTTCAGGCTCTCAAAACTGCCAGGGAAATATTTAAAATGAGTGAATTTCCAAATGATGGCCAGTTCAGTGATGTCAGAGGGCCTATAATATTAAATAATCTATAAATAAACTACTAACCAAGTTAATTATCTTTTGACACTGCTACTGCATCATTTGTCTCCCAACCTAGGAGATTTATAATCAGCCCAATTCCACCAACAAGGAGACTCTCAGACTTGCATGTTTTCACCGGGCAGAGCCTCTGTTTCACTAGTACCCAGAGAAGGACCTGGCACGTAAGGGCACTCAGCTGCTTGATGAGGACGGGAATGTACGTAGTACTAGTCAGCTAGATCTCATACAACCTTCTATAGATGCCAAAGCCACATTCGACGTACATACAGATACTGTATGGGGAAAAAACGTTGTTCCAGCAACCTTCAAAGTTAGTAATAACAAGAAAATTGCTACTTAGAGACATATAAAACACAAAATTCATTTTAATCTCTATATATCAAATACGGCCTCAGCAAAGAACATCTAACACATATGAAATGTATTTATGGGACACACTAAATGAAGCAAACCCTTACTAAAATATTTGGCCTGACCCTCACATCTTTTAAATGAACTCCACGATGGTTGAGTAAGGTGGGAAATCAATCATCTAGCTTCCTAAACTGGAAAAGACAGATGAATTGTCTGTTTAGTCTCTGCAGACTGGGTATTTACCATTCTGAGTCTTGCAAAGTTGGTTCTGCAAATAGTTAGCTTAACTCAGTCAATTACATATTTTTCCATAGTTACCTTAATATTTTGGTTGTGGTTTTTTTTTCATTTCTATTGCTTTTTCTTTTTATGGCTTCTTGCTGCTGTTGTATTAGGGCATACAACACAGATCAGAGATTTCATTTCTCAGAGAAGTTTCTCTCCTTGAGAAATTGGCACTTTGATCCTCTGCTTGTGTAACAGCTACATATAAATGGATCCTACCAGCATTGTTACCAGTCTTGCTGCTTATGAAATTCTAGCACTTTGGCCAAAAGGGTGCCCTGATATTAAAGTCTTCTTAGGTGAACTCTTCCCACCACCAAATTCTTTTATTTAAACATGGCTGTGTGTGTAATTCACATATATGTAATATCATAAGTTTCTACACACATACACACATTTAACTCGTAAAAGTGAAATGTCTCTCTTGAATAAAAAGTAATTACAAGGGTATTAAAACAAATGCTGAAAATAACTATTTTACATTTAGATCATAAAAATTTTAAAGGTAATATCATGACATAAGACCTAGGAGATCAAACACATCCTGTATGATTGTCATATATGCACGTTGTGTTCATTGACTTTTAGTTATTTTTCTCTTTAATCAGAAAATAAAAGAGCTTACCTTTGTTTACTGAGACCACAGCTTACAGTCACTAGATCTCAGCCTATTTTATACAAGTGATATGGCTACGAAGGTCCGAGGAGAACGAGAATAAAGTGAGATAAACGTGCTGAAAACTGCTTAAAAGTATTAACCTGAAATACACAGAGGGTCCAACACTAGTTTTAAAAATACATTAACGAGGTATTCCCAGCTCTTCAATTAATAACGGTGACTGACTGATTCATGATTTTCAAACATTCACCCGAATTTTAAAAAAAGAAGGAAAGGCTAAATAGCAGAAAAATCTATAAGTGGTTTGTTCCCAGGTTAACGATTTCAGAAAGACTACAAATGACTCGGGACTCCTTGCTGCACGCACCATGCACTGCATCTAGTCAGCATGAGGTATGTTGGGAATCTATTGGACCAATTACCTTGCACAAGAGAGGGGGTGCTCCTGCAGCCAGAAGAGACCAGGGCTGCAGGCCACATCCCTGGCTGGGTGCCAGCCCCCATGCAAAGAATATGGCTTCAAGGAGGACCCCTATCTCTGAGAAATTATAATAGCGCTAACTGACGCAGTCAGGAATGCAACTACCCAATTTATGTGCTACAAAAGTTTAAAAACTGTCAGGAGATAGCACAGCTCACACACTGAGTCTAAGTTCTACATTGGTCTGTAAACTCCCTGACAAGAGACTATGCTAGGAGGGGTTAAGTACAGATATTGCTAGGTTTCCAAAGGAAAGGTTTTAAAACAGACACCGTGGCTTTGAATAAAGTATTGCTCTTCTTTAAAATGCTCAGTCATTGCTTTCCAAAAGAAGGTGTCAGAGTGGTGTATCTGAAAGCTGGAAAGCCTCAGAGGGTCACAATGCTCTTAAGACCAAGACAGAAATTGCCATTTCAAGCCAGACAACCTGATGGTTCTAGAAGTCAGAGAAGAAATCTTGAGGGCCCAAGTGAATAATAAGTGGCGCGACGCTCAGAGGCTGGCAATAGGGGCTGTCAATGAAAAAACCGCCTACAGTGGAGAAAAGAGCAGAGAAGCAACACTTGGTGTTAATGTCACAGAATTTGGTGAAGCCAAGAGCTTCATTTATATTTCTCTGCTCTTTCAGCTGTAAGTGGAATTTTCATTACAAAATGGAGGGGTGGGAAGGGCAGAAGGGGGGGAGGGGACACTTAATTCATTACAAAATTTCAACAGTTGAACTTGCATGGTTACCACTTCTAACAAAGGACTGACAGCTCAATTATTTTAAGTAAAGCAGAGAAATGTAAAAGTTTGCAGCAACTGGGCAGGTTTACAACATGGTTAGTAACTTCCAACAAACAACAAAATTAAAAAAAAAAAAAAAAAGACTTGGTAGAAACCATTTGAAATGACTGCCATCATGTTGGAAAACAGCACAGCTCCCTTTTTCACCATCATAGAGGGGTTAAATCATGAAGCTGAGTCAGCTACTTCAAAATAATTTTCTAAAGAGAAATCTCCAGAGAGATTCCAACTTGGAATGCAAATTTGACAATCAATTTCAAATAACAATCTGGCTGCAGCTGCCAATTAATAGTATTCCAAACACAGAGAGGACTATTGTAAATATTGAATTAATAAAAACTGGACACTACCAGCCATGCTTTTTCTTCTCAGTGATGGCTCTGTTTCATCCATAGGTCAGCAAAATGAATCAGTGAAACATGAAAACTCCCAGCTGCAATGGGCCCTCAGGTTTATGTCTAGCCACTTAATGCACAGGATGAGAATGGTAAGTTCACAGCTATTTCTAGCAAGTGATGAGGTTTTATTAAAGTATCACCCACCACTAATAAAGACTAAAGGTCAAGGAGCAGAAGTAACAAGCCACTGTGATAATAAATCCACATCTGAGAAGTGACACTAACATTTGTTTTAAATTGCCCATCTCATTCCCATTTAGCAGTTCCAAAGAAATCTGGTACATAAATTTGCTATATTTTGCGAAGCCCATTCTCACTGATGGGCACTACTGGGCTCTGAGAAACAGAATTTAAGAGGGAAGAGGGAAGCTAATTCGTACTAAAAACAGACATTTTTAAGACACAGCAACTTAGAAATCTCGACACGGGACCACACTGGTGCCTTCATGGGGGTGAGTACCTTAATGAAACCATTACCTTCTAGTAACATCATAGGCTCTCCAAACAAGGCGAGAATGCAGGGGAAGGCTCAGGTCTGCACCCTTTATAGGACAGCACAATGTTACCAACTGATTTTTCACCAGCTTAATCAGATAAATTTTAAGAAAAACTTAAAAATAAATGCTGACCCATGGCTGAAACCTGTCACTTTTCACAGCATCACTCAACAAGAACTGGGACAATCGAAGAGCAAGTTTTTATGGGGACCCTGTTGCTGCTTTAGATTCTGATGTAATTGAAGAGGAAAAGAGACCTTTCCATGAATCCCAGAAAAATCGCTAATCTTCTATCTGCATGAAAAAAGCCAGGGAAGTGAACACAGTATCTTACAGAGTGAAGAAGGCCACAAGAACAAGAGAGAGTGATTGATCGATTAATTTATTCTCTTTCAAAACTTGGAAATTAGGAAACTAAATCACATTCCTCCTTCCCCATCTCTGGGTAGTGCCATCATTTTAAGAAGCAATGCTCGAATCACAGAATATACCTTTCTCATGGGGATGCCCTTGTCCAGCAGTACAAAGGGCTTACAAAGTAAGTAGACTGGCTCAAACTAACAATTGCCTTTGCTTTGTTTTAGCAGTTTCCTTACAAATGAATGGGTTTCTAGGGCTAACTTATTAGTTTTCAATTCCTTGTAATTTGATACCAAAACATATCAAAAATAATAAGCTAAAACAATATTCAAACCCATATTTTATTGGCTTTAATTACACACTTCAGTATTTACAAAGTTAAAGTTAAATGAAAAGTCTCTATTGTATTAAAAAAAATAACTACAGCCCGAATTCCAGTGCCCTGGGCAAATACATATCAATCAGAGCTAAGACTCGGTGACTGCATCAGGAACCAGGCAGTACTCTGTGTTACAACAAAGCAGTTTATTTGTGATCAGTGTTTGAGACTCTATACATCCTTCACAAATTTAATTTTACATAATCTGATACTCCTCCTAAGACTCAACCTCTGCACTGCTAGACTTATTTCCCTAGGACAGAAGGGCTGGTATAAGGTATTTTCCGGAAGTGAGGTACCGTTTCACAGAACTAGTTCCTTGTTGTTTGTTTTCAAGTTGTAGAGAACTAAATTTGCATTTGTTAAAATCAAAAAGTAGGAAAGATGTTCTTTACAAATAATTTTGATCAAGTATGTGTTCAAAGAAAGCAGGATAAAAAGGCTTTTGCTCTAACATTCTGTATTGTACTGTATTTGTTGTTCAATAGGAATTAGCTTCTGTCATTTGCTAAAAGAATGAGTAGTGGGGAACAGGATATGTTGGGAATTTCATAACGGGCAACAGAACCATTCTCTTGGGTAAACCTACAGAGAAAAGAAACGGAGAGGACTCCAAATAAGTTTAATAATCCAATAAAAATTTCAGGTAAAAAAATATCTTACAGTAATGATCATTAACCTTTTCCAGATTAGTCAGTCAACATGAAGCATTCTGGAGGAGACCCACAAACCTCTCACAGATCTCCTATTTTGAAATTGCTAATATTTTGATAATTGGTATTTTCCACTCAAAATTAAGATGGCTATATCACAGGAAGAATGATATTCAGAAAGCAATTTCATTTGTGTGAGTGGCCATGAATTCTAAAGATCAAAAGCAATGCCATTGATGAATATTCTCAAGGGACTCTAGAAATCCATAATCGTTCTCAATTTGGCACATCACAATACTGTAGGAGAAACAGGGATGACTGTCAAGACTCAAAGCACAGCTTTCTGTGCAGGCCTCAGCTCCCCAGAAACACAGCTCTAACCAGAGTCGTGACCAGGGGTTTATCTTCTTAACGGCTACTGCCGGCATTGGCATGGCAAATCTGGAAAGATTAACTACTTTCTTAATTTTGTAATAAACAAGTTCTTGTGGCCTCACAGACTTCTGCATACTCAAGCATGATTTGAAATCTGCTCCTATCTCTATTCTAGTATTTAACCTATGGAGAAATCACAAAGCAGCAACAGCAGGTGTTCAAGAGCACCAGATGATCAGAGGGAAATTACCCCCACATGCAACAGCTTTACAAAGGCCAAAAGACATATTTACCTTACAGCCAAAATAAAGCATTGTTTTAGTAGGTTGGCATCACAGTAACATTTAAAAACCAAATCTTTTATGTGAAAAATGGGGGCATCAAATTTCACCAGCTTTGGAAGTCAGTTATATGGCACATGGAAGAGAGGAGCCTTCTGAAGTGGGGGCTCAGAGGCCGCAGGGTGAAAGTATAATGTTAGAGGAAAGGGAGGCACAAGAGAGAAAAATTAAAAAGACTGAGGAAAAACATGAATGCAGCTTAAAGCCTAGACACACCCGTGTTTTAAAGAGAAAAATTCAGCTCTAAGTAAACCTGTACTAAAGAACGTGGGACTTACGATGTCTGAAAGAGAGACGAAGAATTAACAGCCTGCCCCAGCAGGCAGATGCTCTGGCGCTCACACAAGACACACCACAATGGGACTAGTGAGTCAAAATGTATCTGGATCAACTGCCCAGACCTAATTCACAGGAGGCATGAGGTGGTCAGGATACCCAGGAAGGCGGCTGCATGGTAAAAGCAAGTGGCCAAAACCAAAGGAGCTGGAGAATGTGAATTTAGAACAAATTCTGGGTGAAAACGTTTTCTCAAATGAGTTCTCAATTCCTTATCACCCCACATCCGGGGATCTGGGGACTCTGGGGAAGTCCTGACCAAACCTGAGCATTCCAGAGGAGACACTCAGGTCAAGGATGAGACCCCAGACTTGGTACTTTGCCAGAGAGAAGACTCACCCAAATGTTTGACCCTTGCAGCTTCTCCACATCTTTCCAGTCTATCTTAATGGGGAAAGTGGTCAAACTGTTCATGTTCATTTTCTACTTATTTTTTAGAGTTATGAAATCAAATGGAGCCTCCACTTAGCGGTGTCTTAAGGACCCATCATTTTCATCTGAACAAAAATGGAAAAGCTGATGCATGAGGAGAGAAAGCATAATGAAGGGCCCTGAGGCTCGTGTGGAGGACTAACACCACAAGTAGCAGGACATTCAAGGTCCTTCCCCACTGTACACGTGCACACCCAGCCCAGGGTCGCACCGATACGCACTCACACGTGCACACGCACACACTCACACTCGTGCGCACACACACTCTCTTCTTCTCTCAATGGCAAACATCCTGCAGATGGCTGACCTGTAACATGTAGCGCCTGAGTTAGGGAAAATGTCTACGAGGGCATATCACTGACTCCAAACCTACTGCCTCCATTGCCACATAAACCTCATTCAAAAGTTATCCAAAGGGCCACTGAGGTTCACTTCTGCATATGCTTTTATTTTTTATTTTTGGCAGGAGAGGAGACACTCCTATGATTTTGTAACATGCTGCACAGACTCTGTGCGGGAACCACTTCAAAGACACTGCCAGTGACACCCTGTCACCACGCTGGGGCCCACTGACGCCACCTCTAAAGCAAAATTTATGGGAAAGGATGATGGCTACAAATTTGAAGTGAACATTTCCTAACCCTAACTCAAGTCACCCAGATGGTTTCAAGCCAGAGACTTCAATGCAGCCATGTAACCGGCGAGCAGTTCAGCTGGAAACCGGGTATGGCCCTTCAGTAGCCTTTGAATGGAGTATAAGTTGGCTGTAAGAAGAACTACTTAAAATATTTAATTTCAATATGGTCAGAAACAGGCAATTAGAACAAGCAGTCCTTCAATCAGGCAAAGCAGAGAGAAGAGCAACTCCAACCAAACCGAGAACCACAAGGTTGTGGCGTTTTCAAAGGGAATTTAAGTTGGGTCACTAGAATGAACAGGTCTGAGATCCTCCAATTCACTTAAAGAAACCCTGGATACACACTGCGCTTTAGACTGCTGTGACAGCACTGCTAAGAGGAGAGATCAGAAAGCTGGTGTACGTACCATAGGCAGGGGCGGCTGTGCTGTAACCATACGGCGCTCCATAGCCTAGTGCAAAGAAGAAGAAAGCAATCAGTCCCGAACAAAGGGCAACCGACCGGTACCAGCCCAATTCACAAGTACTGCCTGGCCCAGCACCTTGGGCCCTGAGGACTTCTTCCAGATGCTGGATGAATGAGAACTATACCCCGAATGGCCAAACCCTCCATTCCCGCTTAGCATGACCTATAGCGTTCTCCTGACCTACCAGAGCATTCTTTCTCCTTGCACTTATGACACTGTATTATAATTATCGACCCCATGTCTGTGTCCCCTACTAGAGCGACAGACACCAAGTCTTAGACATTTCTGTATCACCGCAACTTGGAAGAAGGTCTGGCACATAGTAACCACACACTAAATATAATTTATTGAACAAATTTGTCTCCTCTCCCTAAACTTAAAATCACTCAAGTTACCAATTTCTTTAAAGCTGGAAAGCACAACTTTCCAGGTCTCTTGAGAAAGCAGTGACAGGACAGGCTGAAGTCTCAAGTGCAGATCGGGTTGTGGGCTCGGGGACAAGGTCCACGTCTCCTGGTATCTGAATTCCTGGCCCCAGCACAGGGTCTCTCAGTAAATGTTGGCAAAACTGACATTAGCCTCTGGTGCCTATGAAAAAGGCTCATACTGTCAATAAAAACAAGTCTGAAGAACAGAGAAGTTTTTGAGCCAATTTGTTCTGGCATTGGTTTCTTATATGTCCTTAAACATTTAACTTCTGAGTTGCCTTTTCATGCCTGTAAAATGAGAAATCTTCCAAGCTACTCTATAGTGCTGCAGGGATTAGAAATACTGTGCTAAGAGAAGCCACAATCTTTAATCTTTCAATAAAACAACTTTAAAAATATAAATACTAAATTGCTTGGGTAAATCTTCAGGGAAAATTGGGTTCTAAAATAGAACAAAATCTACATGGGCCCTTCACACTGTACCTAAAAACAAATCAAGCCTTTTTAACATTACAAGCCCTTTTTCTATAATCATTTCTGCTGCTTGCAAGGATTCCCCCCCCCCTTCTCTAGCTGCCCAGCTGCAATGCATCCTGTAGATCAGGATCAAATATCACCTCCTCTGTGAAGTTTCCTGGGTTTATTGTTTTTTGTACCCCACCCCCAACCAATGTTACACCTTGCATCATGTTGTACATTGTTGATGCAAGCATCTGTTCCTACCCCAGATGACCTTCAAGCATTCACTGGGGCAGATGCTAGTCATCTTCTAATGCCCAGCTCCAAATCTCTTGCTTGAAACAAAACACTCAAATATATGCTGAATAAGTAAAAACTGCTTTTAGGGACTAACGGAAACATTTCCTGAGAGATGGAAATTTTCACTTTTCAGTCTATACTTAAGTCACATAAAACTGGGGATACAATGTAGCCTTAGTCTTTAGTCTTAATTGTAGTCTTTAGTGCTTCCCTAAATCTTAGACTTCAAGAGGATACAATGCAGCTAAAAGAGGCAGCAGGAGATATGCTGTAGGAACTGAGGTCAAAAGAGAAATTAATACTTTAAAAAGTTTGCATATCAAATCTATTCCAGGAAAAGGTACCTAGCTGGATGACTAAGGCTACAGTTTCAAGGGTTTTACCAAAACCTACTTAAAGAGAGATGAAACTAAAACCACTAAGCTAGCCACCGATCAGATTGTGGGGTTTGAACCCCAACTTCACTTTCACTAGCAAGGTGACTTTGTGCCTGTTATTTCACCGCTCTGAGCCTTACAGTCTTCCACAGTAATTGAGTTGGCAGGGGAATGTAATTAAATAATGTATGTAAAAACACTTACTATAGTCCCTGCTGCAAGAATACACTCTGCAAATGGCATATAACCTATTCGTAATCTAATTGACCTAATCTGAATCTTCTCTGGGCTATAAAAGAACTTCATTTTTAAAAGCTTCACGAGACAGGCCCTTCACAGAGGTCAATGTGATGACATAAGAGAAAAGCTACTATTGAGCCAACGAGCCTGGCAACAAGCAGACACACACAAAGCCTTTCACGACCACTGCCACTAGGTGATGGGTGGGAGGTAAGCGTCCCTGACCACATGACCGCAGACACTCCCAAATGGACAAAGCCCCCACTGAACATGCAATCAAAGGCTAGAAAGTTCATCTCAATAATTTGCCTATTATTAATAAAAGCTGCTTTCTTTAAATAATGATCAGATGAGGCAAAAGAATATGAAATATCAGTACAAACAGTGGGATGCAAAGAAGAGTGTCTTAATCCGGGACCCATCAATGGAACCAAACCCCGATGCGCCTTCTCCTCTCCCATCCCCCTTCCTCCTTCTCATCCTTCAGCATTCTTCGTCTCCTTCAACGGCACACTCAGTGACCCAGTTCCTCTTGCTAAAAATGCTGGGAGAAATCCTTGAAACCTCCCTCTTTTTCATTCTCCACATTAAATCCATTAACTGTGCTTCTGCAGCACGTCTTCAATCCGGTTGCTTCTTGCCACCCATCTGCTTCCCTGCACCCGCTGGAGATACCTGCACTGTCTCTGGCCTGAGCTATGAGTTTACCAGAACCTTCTAACTTGTCTTTTCACATCCACTTCTGTACCTACAGTCTATTCTTCACACTACAGACAATGATCTTTACAGAAAAGTCTGATGTTGTCACTTCTCTCCTTAGAGCCCTTCACGACTTCCCACTACACTTAGCATTCTAAGGCCAAAATCCACACCTTGGCCTCCAGGACTGGGATTGAGTGTCTAGCTTTAGCTCAAATCATTCCCTGTCCCTGTTGGGTCTCTCCCCACCAGCCCCCACCCAAAACACAGAGTGCTCTCCACACTACAGACATTTGGCCGTCCTCTAATCCTCACCAGCCGAGTTCCCTGGCCCAGCAGCACAGGGTCTCTGCACATGCTGTTCCCTCTGTGGACAACACTTGTCCACCCTAGTCTTCTCCAAGTTAATGCCTCCTCACTCTCTAAAGCTCAGGTCAAGTGTCACTTCTTTGCGGGAAGGCCTTCAGGCCCCAAATCCTAGACCCAGCTTCTCTGTTACATTCTCTCACAGAACATACCCTTGTCCTTCATCACAACCTTCTCAGTTGATAAGTGAGTGACTTATCTGATTGGCCTGTCTCACCTTTAGATCATAAGCTGCACACAGTAAACTCCCAAAGCAGGCACATGGTATTTCAATGAGTGAATATATTCATTCCATGACACATCTTTGAGCTCTGCCCCTACTGGGACAATTCCTACAAGTATAAGTCCAAAACCACTGAATCCACAGAACTTCCCAAATAGCCTATTCTAACTCTGAAAGAAAGAAAGAAAGAGAGAGAGAGAGAAAGAAAGGAAGAAAAAAAGAAAGGAAAAGAAAAGAAAGAAGAAAGCGGACACACACACAATCTAAGTGGACTTCTTAGCAATATTACATAAAAAAATAATGATGGTATAAGATCCAATCCTTATGAAAATTTCACCCTGATCAATTACAAGCAGTCTACTTGTTAAGTGAAAAGTTCCATAGGTTCAATATGGCAGACGACCTGACTTTAATGAGACAGCTCTACATCTACTGCTGAAATGACGTATTAGAACAGAAGGCAGAAGGAGGGCATCTTTTCCCCCATCTCCCTCAAGCCATGTGGTGAAATGGAAAGAATATAAACTCTAGAACTGCAAACACCTACATTCAAATCTCGACTCTGCTGTTCGCTACATGTCTCAGACTGAGCTAGCTGCCTTCTCCCATTAAACCTTAGTTCCCTCACCTAGAAAATGGAAATAATTTCTACCTGAGGAAACACTGTGAGGATTAAAAAAAAAATTAAGTGAAATCATTTATGCCAAAGTACCTGTTGTATATAGTAAGCTCTGGATAAATAAGTTTCCTTTTTTTTTTTTTTTTCATTTTTCTCTTTTTGTACTTCTGTAGACCTTTGCTGGATCCCAAACACTGAGTTAAAGAAAGCTATTAATGCTAGGCTTCACCCCAATGAGGGAGTCTCTTATCAGCAGTTTTCCTCTCCTGTTACACCCAACCATCCTCTACATGTCCCCGCTGAATGCACCCTGCTCACATGTCCACACTCCTCAATCTGTGGAGTATTTGTTAGCTGGAGTATTCATTTTGATAATGAATCAAAATATGTCCTCTCAACCAAGTGCAATATTCCTCATCTGTCACCTCCCTCCAGAATGCCTCTAGTCACTCAGCAGATTCCACAAGAAAACCTATGACATTCTGTAGATTTTCTTCTTCTGAATTTCCGTGCACACCCATCTTACACCTGTATTACGTTTCCAGGGACCGTGTATAACCCTGGAAAATAAAGGAGATACTGTTCTTCAAAGCCCAGAAGAGGAGGCAAACCTCTTACAAGCTATACCCTACCTGGAGCTATGTAGCCAGGAGCAGCTGTAGCCCCAACAAAAGCTCCCCTTGTTAGAGCTCCTCTTCCTCTGCCCCGAACAGCTTGGACTGCTGCAGACACAGCTGTATTCACAACACCCTTTGCCTGTTAAAAATAACACATTTTCATTACTGAGAGAAATAAGAACTAACATCCCATCATCTTTCTAATGCACAACCTCTATGAGAAACTTGAGCCCATAGATGAGTCAATGAGTGTCTATGACCTTGAACCTTTATCATCTGTAAAATAAAAATGACACCTACCTTACAGAGCTGTTCGGAAGAATATTTGGGCACATAAAAGTATGCAAATAACTTCTTTTTACTTGAGGGTTACTCAGAAAGAGTTCATTTTCTACACACAAATTTCGTAGTCAAATTACATCCATTACATTTTAGACCTGACTAAAGTAATTATAGACACTTGATACCTAGGTTTGAAATCCACTGAATTCTCCGCGCACAAACAAAAGCTACCCAATAAACCACCAAGAATTAGCTGTGAACCTGAGTAGAGTTAAGAAAAAAACAGTACAACAACAACAAAAAAACAGAACTATGAAGAAAGACCAAAAATGACAACTCCAGGAAGGTCATGTGATTTCTCCGAGTCTGTATTTTCTGCTATACATGTATGTGTGTATGTGTACATGTGTATGTACATGTACCAATCATTAAAGAAATACCACCTCTAAAGTCCCCTCTTGCTCTAAAATGCCATGGGACTCTGGTAAAAATCACAAATCTCTATGTCTATCGGAGTCTCCCACTAATTATACAATGAGGATAATGATACCCACTTTGTTTTACTTCAGAGGAGAAAGAGCAATTGAGAAAACAGCAAACTCTGAAACGTAGACTAGATAAGGACAAAGAGAACAGAGGGCTGCTAAAACATCCCTTTCTAAAACTGAAATTTTAGGAAAATCAAGAATATATAGTTTTAAATGAAACAGTATACTTATTTTTTAAATATAAAGACACAACAAAAACTCAAACTAAAAACTACCAGAATTCCCTCCTATAACCAAGGTGCAGAGCCTCAGAGCTCAGGGTGGAATAAAGTCAACAATATTTCAAACAGCTTAAACATTCAGAGTATACACACATTTATCTCACACTGAAAAGCCATCATCTTTTATTCCTCATAGGAACACCTCTACCACTACCATAGCTGGGCAGAAGACAGTTTCAAGGTCAAATGTATCATGCACAGGGAACAGCCATTTTTCTATCTGGCTGAAAAAAAAGGCAACCCACACATCCAAAA